TCCTTTCAATATACCATCAAACATCAGCAGTATGGTTATCCCAGCTATTCAAATATATTTAGATAGATAGATAGATGATAGATAGATGATAGATAGATAGATAGATAGATAGATAGATAGAGATAGATGAAGATAGAGATATTTTTGCCTTCTTTCTTTTTTCTTCTTTCCCTCTTCTCAGTTGTTCCTTCCTTTGAGAAATTTCTTTCCCTTTCATATCATCTATCGTATGTTTTGAGTTTTACTTACTCTTTCAGGTTCCTACAACAGGGATACAGTATACTATTTACATATGAGGGCCAAATTTATTTCACTTATGAGTATGGTCTTTAGTTGCATCTTCTTGTTGATTTGAATTTTTTTTTATTTTGGTGGTTTTATCTTTATTGTGTATCTTCTCTTCTAGTGAGATTTATATTTTTATATGTCTTCATAATGGCATTTTTCTTTCTTTTTCTGCAAGATATAGGACTCCCTTAACAATTTTTAAAGAAAACTCTGGTGGTGAAGAATTACTTCATTTTCATTTGTCTGAAGAAGTCTTTATTTCTCCTTCATTTCTGAAAAGTAGCTTTTCTGGGTATAGTATTTTTGTTGGAAATTATTTTTTAGAAATTTGAATATGTTCTCCTATTCCTTTCTCTGTCCTATTCCTTTCTCCTTTCCTTTCCTATAAAATGTCTGTTGATAAATCTAGAATTAATTTAATTGGAATTTATTAATGTGACTTGATGATTTTATTTTGTTAGTTTTTAGAATATTCTCCTACCAGGGAACATTTAAAACTTTAGACTTGATATGCTACATTGACAACCCATTTGGTCAATTCTATTTGGAGTTATTTAGTCCTCCTCTATCTGTATGTCCTACTTTTCTCAAAATTGGCAAAGTTTTACCTGTCATTTCAATGAACAGGTTTTCCATGTGTTTAACCTCCTGTCCTCTTCTGAAATGCTACCCTCTGCACTTTTAGGCTGCCTGCAGCAGTGACATTGCCAGATCCCCCCATTTTTTAACCTATTGCCCAAACTGGAAATTCTCTAGAAACATGTAACAAAATATTGACTTGGACAGTTCAATCTTCATATGTAAGGAAATAGTATTGGAGGAATTCCTTAAAGCAGTTTTAAAGTAATATTTCTGTACATTTATATAATGTAAAGGAATGTTATATTTTCCTTAATTTTTTTCAAAGACCTCAAACAAGACTTTTTCTTTCTCTTTTGACTTATTTCCATGATTAGTGACAAGTTCTTGGATAGATATTTATTTTCAGGTTTGTTTATGTTTATATTCCTTTAATATTTATTCATATTTTTGTTTCCTTTTGAACTTTATTAAAGTATATTTTTCAAATAAAACTGAATATAATTATGTACAAAATATGGGTTTTTATTATGTATGCATTATTAAATGCTAACCACCATGGAGCTAGTTAACATTTCTAGCACCTTAAATAGTTGTTCATCCTTGTTTTTTTCTGTGAGAACAGTTAAGATCTATGTGCTTGGCAACTTTTAAATATACAATGTAATACCATTATTAATGTTCATATTGCTACTCTTTACGTCTTCAAATCTTCTTTTGCACAACTGAAACTACCTACACTTTGACCAGTATGTTTCCATTTCCCCTTTTATCAGCTCCTGGAAGATACCATTCATCTCTCTTTTTGCATGACTTTTGGTTCCATATGTAAGTGATATACAGTGCTTGTTTTTCTGTGCCTGATATATTTCACTAGTATATTTTAAAATGTAGCAGATATGCACAAGAAAATGCTATTCAAATGTTAAATACCAGCAATATTTGTCACTTGTGACACCACAGAGGCTAACCAACTTTAATGGCTTTTAAAATAATACCAGAATTTCACTTCTGGTAATAGTAGATCATATCATTTAGAAAACTCTGTCCTACTTTGCCCAGATAGTAGTAGATTCTGAAATATAATTTATCTGATGACACCTGAGAGCTATCAAGACCATGAGAAATTAGAGGACCTTGGTCCAGAGAATGAGAGAAGCTCTATAAAAGAGAGAAGCCCCTCTGAGACCACATCCCTTCTCCTATAGGAATCTGCAAATTCCAAAGGAAGTACCCAGAGGAGAGAGGCTGAGCATAGTAACCCACAGAGGCAGAGGTCCCCAGAAACAAAATCTTGAATAACAGGCTTACACAGAAAGAAAAACCCTGGTAAACACCTAAAGTTCAGGGAGCAACCATAAATACTTGCATCCTAAATCCCCATGATGTAAGTGTAAAGTGAAGCAAAAATAGACAAAAATAGAGAACAGCCTTCAGAAATGATTGAAATCCAGATTTGAGTAATTCCAATTCCTGTTCTAAGGTCAGTAGACCCTGTGGGTACCCAATTGTAACTGTAGAACAAGAGAAAGAACAACTAAATCAAACTGAATATTTACTGAGTTTGTTATGCTTAGAAAGTATTCTGAAGCTAAATTTACAAAAGTTATTAATTTAAATGCATAACTACAATAACACATAGTCAGGAAGTGGATAGATGATATTAATGTTGTAAGGTCACTGAATTAGTAAAAGGTGGTAAAATTTTAATTTGCATAATTTAATGTTTAGGATGAGAAGCAGTGTATAGAATAACCAAAACAGAATAGTAGAGGGCTAGCGATTTAGCTCAATGGCACAGCGCCTGCCTGGCAATCACAACGTCGTGAGTTCAATTGTCGGGACCAGAAAAAAAAAAAAAAAAAAAAAAAAAATAGAATAGTAAAAAAATTAAATCCCAGTTAGAACGAAAAGAACAACTTTCTGAATTAAAAATACTTGATCCAAAGTAGGCAGAAAACAGAGGATAAAGGAAAGGGGATAAAAGGGAGAAAGAAAAACAAGAAAGTAGATGGTATATGTAAACTCAAACATATGAATAAATATATTAAAATTAATATCTTAACAAAAAGGACAAAGATTGTTGAAATGAATTAAATTAGCTTATACATATTATGCCCAAGAAACATGCCACATGCAATTAACTCCAAAGTTTAGAAATTTGAAAGAAAAAATTAAATTATGGAAACACTAACTGAAAGAAATTGGCATGTCTGTAGTAATCCAAAAAATCACCTTAGTTGCAAGGATATATATTAATAGTTAAAGGAACAGATTCATGACAAAGAAGAATGTTTCTAAATAACAGCTATGCATGTAATATGATAGCCTCTAAACTATAATGCGAAAGATAGAACAAAGAATATATTATGCAAAGTACAATTTTTATGGTGAAACTTTTCATGTACCTAGGAGAATGATAACAGAAACAAAGCAACAAATCTGTGTAAAACTCACAAAACATAATTAGTAATAGTGGCCTAACTGGTATACTTAAAATTCAAAATCTTAACAATAGAAAATTAGTCTTTTCTAGTCACTGTGGAGCATCAATTTCAAAATATCTTTGTTCTTGAAAATAGGAACAAATGTCATAAAGCAGAAACTATAAAAATATATTTTCTAACACAAGAGAATTAAGGTAAATCAATGACTTAAAATATTACCAGAAAATTCCTCTATGTCTAGAAATTCAGAAATACTAATTCTTAATAAATAAGGTATCAAGAAATTGCAATTACAAAGTGTACTGAGACTAGTCCAACAAAGACAGAGGATTAAAATTAACAGTACAGTATTCATGAGGTGCTTCAAGGTCATTCACTAGATAGATGGGTTCCCAGAAACCCAGATAAAGGCTATGCAGCTAGACCCATGCTTAAAGTAAACGTTAGGATTCAGAACACAAATGCAAACACAATGGTAAAAATAGTAATAGGAAAGCAATTAAATTACAAAGAAAGGAGAAGCAACAAAATTACTATGATAACAGGAAAAAAAGCCAAGAGTTAGCTCTTAAGAACCTCAAAAAATTGCTAAAATCTTGTCAAGATGGAAAAAAAAGACTGTAAAGGGGAAAGAGAAAAAATAATAATTTCAAGATGAAATAATGATAAATCCTATTGGCACTGATATACTACAGAGGAAATATAAACAAGCTTTTGACAAAATTGGGTAATTTTAATAACTTCTAGAGTATAGTTGTAAAGCACAACTTACCAAAACACTCTCACACACATAAACACACACACAAACATATCTGAAAATACAAATAGGGTTAGATTGATTTTTTAATAACTGACCAAAAATTTGAAACATTTCTAAAATGTTTTCCAGTACATAGGATTTCACAATTTAATGCTACAAAATTATTCAGAAAAGAAAAATGTACACCTACAAAGTTTGCCCCACACTCTGAGACTAAAAACAAAAAAGTTTTGAGATTATTTTGTGATGTCAAAGAATCTTTAATACCAATACCTGACAAGGACATAGCTAGAATTAAATGAAGATAGACAACAATGCTAAACAAAATATTCCCAGATTGAATCCACATACATAGATTATGAACAATACAGATAAGCTAGAAACTCATAATTTTATTTCCCCATTTGAAAATAAATGTAATTCAATACATTAACAGAATAAAAGATATAAAACACAGTGTCACCCTAAGAAGTATAAAATACACCTGATAAGGGTAAAATCTGGGCACATTATTGATACAATCTCAAAATATAATCACGTCTCTTTAGTTGATGTACACACTGTGATGTAGTTCAGAATAAATTGAAACTTTGACATGATCAAAATGATGTATATTTGATGTAATGTAAGAGCACTGACTCATGGACTGACAATTCAAGTTTCTGGACATCCTGGAACTAATTCTAACTCGTAGAGATGAGATAGTGAGAGATCACAAGATGTCCTCATATGACCTGTAAGAACAAAAGCAAAAAAAAAAGAAAAGAAAAGAAAAGAAAAAACTAAATAAGAGGTACCAGCAAATATATACATTCAGAGCAGCGTTATACAGTAGAACCAGCCAGAGTACCCACAAATGGATGAGTTGACATGTAAAAGGTGGTGTGTTTCATGCAATGGAAAATTATAAGTGGGAGGGAAAGTCTGACATAAGATATAAAATGGATGAACCTTGAGAACATAATGCTAAGTGAAAGAGACCAGGGAAGAAAAGGCAAATGTTGTATGATGCTATTATTTGAGACACCTTGAATAGTAAAATTTGCAGAGGTTGAAAGCAGAATGACCATGACCAGACCCTAAAGGAGGAAAATGATGACGTTTAATGGGAAACCAGTTTCTGTTTTGCAAGATGGAACTAATACTGGAGATGCAAGAGAGCAATAGTCGCCAAAAAGAGTATGAATGTACTTAAAAAACTAAAACCTTGTTTAACAAAATGGTAAAGATGTGTATTTTATCACAATTTTATGAATTTGTTTTAAGCAAGGGATTAAAGGTAATAGGAGAGGACCAGGGGAAAGATGGATGCTAATGTGCTGAAATTAGGCAAAAGGCAAAAAGGGTAGGAAAGCGTATGGAAAAATAAATGCTTACAAAAATAAAAACTTACCAGCGCCTATAAAACCATAATACAAAGAAGAGCAAAATGATCAAAGAGGGCAGTATTACTGCCAAAATAATCCAGCCAATAGAGATGGAGTGTCCTGGCAATTAGGAAAGAGGACAGAAAGTGTCATGTCAAATCATACACACGTATCCCCACTCCTTCCTTAGTCCACATATGTATCCTTTATTCTCTAAGTGCCTTTCCTCTTTCCAACCTCTATTTTCCACCAATAAACCTCTCTTCTTCTCATTGTCACTGCCTCACTTATTCCCTTCATTTAACACTAAAACAATCTCCCACCATTTCGAACCTGAGGCTCATCCTTTCTCACCCCAGTGGAGGACGATGTCCTGCCCTCCCAGACTGCTGTGCTTCACTCGGCAAGACAGCCCAGCGGCCTCCTCAGCTGCCACATCCAGGGTCACTTGGAGATACCATGTGTCATCAGCATTGGGCAGGACGTCCCCTCTCTGAGTTTCAGGCTGCTCCTGCTCACCCCGCATCCACATCACCCACACGGGCTTTGGATGGAAGCCAGAAACATGACACACCAGTTGCAGATGGCCAGGCCTAGGGTTCGGTCCCTGGGACAGCCAGGCCTCAGGCTTCACTGGTGCAAGAACAGGTAAAGAGAGTGTCACACAATAACTCTACTCAGAGCAATTAACTCAGAAAATCCACAGCTTTGGACATTGTTTCTTTTACACTTTCAGAGTGAGATGAGCTGGTGAGCAAGAACTTCTAGTACGTTCCAATTGGGAATTAAAGGAAGTAATACAAGTGAAACAGAACAGGACTAACCTTGCTTCTGCAGATCTGCCTTCCCTGCATCTAGGACACCCATCAGATATCTGGGGCAAGTTTTTATGAGGAGATTTTCCACAGTATCACAAATTCCTTTGTACTGTGAGATTAATGCACAGATCTTCTGTGCCCTGGTGCCACCTTCTGGGGCTGGCCAACATGAATAATTCTTGAAGCTCAGGAAATCCAGGCCCCCTAAACCTGCCATCAAGAAGCTTTGAAAAGCACCTCCAGACTGCAACTCACAGCCTGCTATGCCCTGGATCTCAAAGGGGTCTGTGGAGAAATAAACCAGAGAGATTATTACACAGTAAAGAAAAAGAGGGAGGTGCTCCAAATTGAAATCATGACAGCACTTAGAAACACTCAAGAAATTAAACTGAAGAGTGGTATGCAGAGAGGGTAAAATATATAAAGTGTATGGTGGTAAGATGGGGAAAGAGAGGCAGATGGTAAGGAAGGTACAAGGGAATCACAAGTACAACATTCCCAAAGGAAACACTGGGTGACCTGGAGAGGAAAGCACAGGTAGGAGAAGGTGGAAAGGAAGGATGAGAGAAGGAAGCCACACTTTTGTTGCAAAGACACAGTATGGGAAAGTAAGGAGCAAGTGCCCATGAGAAAAACCAGGGACTGGTCACAAAGCGGTGCCCTTAATCTGTCAGAGATGAGTGCAGAGGCAGCAAAAATCAGAACACCTAGTGAAGTGTAGAGCGTGGCAGGACACTGCTCTAGAACAAGCAGTTGGGTGAAGGTGGGAGGAGGTGGAAGGACAAGATGGGGCAGTGGTCTGAAGCAAGAGAGGATAGAAATAATTGAGAATCCCCTGCCCCTCAACTTAAGGAATGGGCTCACATTCCATCTGGAAATCGCTGCTACGTTCCTGGATTTCTCTGACGAATCCCAAGAAGTACACTCGAAACAGCTCCTCCATCTCCAAAATTTCATCATTGCTGAAGTTGCCTTTAGACCAGGGCTTCAGTAGTATGATACTGCCTGAGTCACTGTCCCAGCCATGGATCTGCATATCTCCCAACCAGCCTGAGCCTCGATTTTGTACCCAGGTACTGTTGAAAAAGGATGAGATTTGGATGACATGGAAAGAAGTCAGCTCCGGGAAGGCTGTGGAGAAAGGAAGCATAACATAATGAAGACAAAGAAAGAAGCAGGAAGGAAAGAGAACAAGACTCAGAACCTGTAGAAAGTACAACACCTGACCCATCTGAGAGCTCCAGAGCCTCAGGCTCCAGCGCCAACCTCCAGAATGGTGGAGGACACCTTGAGTCAAGAGGGCTCAGAGCATCGATGCACCTGGGTAAGCACAGCCTGCCTTTGTGCAGAGCCCTGCACAAATGCTAGAAGCTTCCCGAGTTCTTCTTACCATCTCGAGTGTCTCCAGCTGAGAAGAGAACTGCAAACAATGCCAGTGTCAGGAGCAGCATTTCACTGAGAGAAGACTCCTGTCTCTCAGCTTGTGTTTGATCTCTGAGTTTAGCAGCACTTTTTCCTCTGTACTGTGTAGCAGTGACTTCCTCTCTCCTCATAGAAATCTCTTCCTCATAGAAATTTTGTATCCATGAAAACATTTACCTCCCACCTCCTGGTGTTCCTACTCCATCTTTCATTTCCCCTGTGGGCCTGACTTCCAGACTGACTCTTTCCTGCCTGGGCCCCAGTTTCTCTCCCTGTCCTCAGCTTTCTTCATATGAGCTCAGAAAAGTTTTCTTCAAATAAGCTTATGTGATTTGCAAGATCTGTCCACGTGCATGAGCCTTTATTTACAGATTAGAAGGTGAGCGAGGAATGCTAAACCCCTGCTCAGCATCCAACCTGATTTGCCCTGGAAGGGAACTCATCATTTAGCCACGCACCTGGACATCTCTCCCTCACCCTGTCCTGTCCTCTCTGCCATCACATTACACCTTTCCACTGTTCTGTGTCTTCCTCTTCCTACTTCATCATTGTCTGGGTTGGCATGTCCTAGATTTCTCTATCTGGTTTTCTGTTTTCATATTTTGACTTCTATTTCAAGAGACTCTCTAGAATTTCCCACTGTGACTATAAAATCAGCCACAAAGGTCTATATAAAATTAAAAAACTACAAAATTAAGGCACAAGGGCCTGGGGAAAAATAACGTAGATATCACACAAATTAAAGCCCCACACAACTGAAAATATGGCAAAAAAACCACTTATTCTCATTTACTTTTTTGATTTTTTAATGTATTTTAAAGATAAAAGAACAAAAATACATTAACAAACAAACAGACAAACAAAACAACACCCAAACAATAGAAACAATAAGAATTTCAGACAAGGTGATAGGAAATTAACAATGGTTATTGTATTACATATTGTTATTTTCAAACTGGTTACTCAGTTAAACAAATATAGGCATGTAAGATTGATCAACAATTAAACATTAACTGTTGCTTTCAATAAAGCAATAGAAGTCATTAGTAAGACACTCTCAGCTATCCTATGTTTGTGTGTGTGTGTGTGTATATATATATATATACATATATATATATTCCCTTCTTTCTTTTTCTCTTTTCCCTCATCCAAGTTGTTCCTTCCCTCTGAGCAGTTCCTTTCCCTTTCACAAAATCTGTTATACCTTTCATATTTTATTTACTCTTTCAGGTTCTTACACTAGTGAGACGATACAGTATTTACACATGCTGGTCTGATTTATTTTGCTTGTGAGTATGGCCTGTAGTTCCATACATTTACCAATAAAAGCCTCAAGTTTATCTTTTTTATAGCTGAGTAATATTCCAATGTGTAAAAATACCACATCAGTTTTATCCATTCCTCAGTTGATGGGCATTTGTGTTGTTTCCATGATTTAGCTATGATAAATTGTGCAGCTATAAACATGGGAGAATATATATCGCTGTGGTATGATGTTTGTAGTTCTTCTGGAAAAATATCCAAAGGGGAAATAGCTAGGTTGAACAGGACCTCTAGTCCTAGTTTACTGAGGAATCCCCAGACTCCACATGGGTTGCACCAGTCTACACTGTCACCGACGGTGGGGAAGGGTTCCTTTTTCTCCACAGTCTCACCACCATTTGTTATTGGTTGATTTCTTGATGACAGGCATTCTTTCTGGGATGAGATGGAATCTCAGTGTTGTTTTAATTGGCATTTCTCAAATGACTAATGATGCTGAACATTTTTTCATGCATTTATTTTCTACTTGTATTCCTTTTTCTGAGAAATGTGTATTCATCTCAGATGCCCATCTGTGGATTGGGTCTTTAAATTTGGAGGGGGAGGCTGGGTTTTTTAGTTCTTTATATGTTATAGATAGAAGTCCCTTCTCTGAGGGACAGTTAGCTAAAATTTTTTCCCAATTTGTGGGTTTTCTTTTTATTCTGTTGGTCATTTCTACAGATTTGCAAAACTTTTCTGTAATATGAGATCCTGGTTCTTGATTCTTTGAAGCAAAACCCATGCAGGTTTTTTGTTCATGAAGTCTCTGCCTACCACTATATCTTCAAGATTTTTACATATTTTCTCCTACACTAGATTTAGTGCTTCTGTTTTAATATTTAAATCTTTGATCCATTTTAACTTTAGTTTGGTGCACGGTAATAGACATGGGTCTAGTTTCAGTCCTCAGCATGTGGAGAGCCAGTTTTTCCAGCACCATGTATTAAACAGGCTATCTTTCTTCCAATGAACTTGTTTGGCTCCTTTGTCAAATATAAGTTGGCTGAGTGTGTTTGTGGTTGTTGCTGCACTTTCCAGTCTGTTCCATTGATCCTCAGGTCTATTTTTTTTGCTAATACCATACTGATTTCATCATAGTGCACTTGTAGTATAATTTCAAGTCAGGGATTGTGATGCCACCTGACTTGTCTTTGTTGCACAGGATTGCTTTTGCTATTCTGGGTCTCTTCTGGTTCCAGATGAATTTTAGGAATGTTTTCTCTAGATCTGTGAGGTATACTAATGGTATTTTCATTAGAATTTCATTGAATCTATACAACAATTTTGGGAGTATGGCTAATTTCACAATGTTGGTGGTTAATGTCTCCAGAACTATGCTGAATAGGAGTGGTGACAATGGGTATCCTTGCCTTCTTCCTGATTTTATACTGAAAGCTTTCAGTTTTCATCCATTTAGTACAATGTTGGCTGTTGTTTTGTCATAGATGTCTTTGATCAGATTGAGGTAAAGACCATCTATTCCTCTTTTCTGTGTGATTTCTATCATAAATGCATTTTGGACATTGTCAAATACTTTTTCTGCATCTACTGAGATGATCATGTGATTTTTGTCTTTGGCTATGTTAATATGATGTATTACAAAAAAAATTAATATGATGTATTACATTAATTGATTTCCATATAATGAGCCATCCCTTCATCCCTGGGATGAATCCCACTTGGTCATGGTGTATAATCTTCTTGCTAATTTGATGAATTCTGCTTGCTAATATTTTATTGAGTATCTTTGCATCTATGTTCACTAGGAAGATTGACCTGTAGTTCTCTTTCTTGGTTGCATCTTTCTCTGGTTTTGGTATCAGCATAATACTTGCCTCCAGAAATGGGTTAGGGAGAATTGCTTCCTTTTCCATTTCATTGAAGAGTTTGAGGAGAATTGGCATTAAATCTTCACTAAATTTCTTGTAGAATTTATCTGTGAATACATCAGGACCTGCGTTTTTCTTTGTTGGTAGGTTTTTAATCATATCTTCAATTTCAATAGCTGATATTAGGTTGTTCAGGATTTTTAGTTCTACTTGATTCAACTTTGATAACTCATAGTTATCTAGAAATCTGTCCATTTCTTCTGTGTTTTCCATCTTATGGGAGTAAAGATTTCAAAGTACATACTAATGATCACCTGAATTTCTATAGGATCTGCAGTGATTTCACCCTTTTCGTTTCTTATTGCATGAATTCGAGTTTTATCTCTCCATTTTTTTTCATAAGATTAGCTAGAGGTTTATCAATTTTATTTTTTCTTTCAAAGAACCAACTCTTTGATTCATTAATTCTTTGTAGTGTTTTCTTCATCTCAATTGCATTAATTTCTGCTCTGATCTTTATAATTTCCTCCCTTATTTCAGTTTTGCACTTAACTTGTTCTTTTTCTAAAAGATTGAGGTGCATCGCTAGGCTATTTATTTGTTCTCATTCTGTTTTCCTTATATGTGAGTTTACTGCTGTAAACTTCCCTCTGAAGACTGCTTTCACTGCATCCGACAGATTCTGGTAAGTTGTATTTACATTTTTGTTTGTTTGTAGATATTATTTAATTTCTTCTTTAATTTCATCTGTGACCCACTGGTTGTTCTGGAGGCTGTTATTTAACATCCATGTGTTTATGGAGTTTTTGTGGTTCCTTTTGTCATTAATTTCCAATTTCACTGCACTATGATCAGATAGTATGCATGCCATAATTTCAATTACTCTGCATTTACTTAAGCATGTGTTATTTACTTTCTGTTCATTTCCTACTGTTATCCTCTGTTTAATTGCTTTCTTTGCTACATAGTTCCATGCTATTATTTTTCTTGAAATTGTGCTTTTTTTATCTCTTTCTGGAATACCTTTTAGTACTCTTTGTGGGGTTGGTGTGGCACTTATAAAGTTCTTCAGTTGTTCTTTGTCATGGAAGTACTTCATTTCTCCATTAAATTTGAAGGAAAGTTTTGCAGATACAACAGTCTGGGTTGGAAGCTGTTTTCTTTCAGGACCTGGAATACTTCACTCTAACCTCTTCTTGATTCGATGGTTTGTGTTGAGAAATCTGCCATGATTCTGATGGGCTTTCTTTTATAGGTGATCTGTTTCTTTTCTCTAACAGCTTTTAATATTTTATCCTTTGCTGGATTTCTGGGATCTTGATTATTATATGTCTGGGTGTAGTTTTATTTTGATTATGGCTTGTTGGAGTTCTATATGCCTCACTAATTATATGATAAATTCTTTATCCATACTTGGGAAATTTTCTGCTATTACTTCTGCAAATAGTCATCTTATATCATTTATGTTGACTCCTGCTGTTTCGTTAATGCTTATCTATCTTACATTGCTTCTCTTTGCATCATCTTACAGCTGTTGAATTGTTATTTCCTGGTTCCTTGCAATTTTTAAGAGATCTTTCCTTTCACAATCATTAGCTGCAATGCTGTCTTCAAGATCTGAAAATCTAACTTTGGCTTCATTCAGGTGGTTTTACCAGCTTTTGATAGACTTTTTGTTTTCCTGGATACCTGTATGAATCTGTTTCATGCATTCTAGTTTGTTCCTATATTGTTCATTTAATGTTTCCATTATTTTTCTATGCTTGTCTATTTTTCATATATTTTCTCTTTAGATGTGCTCAGAAATTCTTCCATTATTGTTGTCTTTTCATTTTTTACCTGAGAGATTATTACTGATCTGATTTATTCTATGGCCTATGGATTTGTTTCTTTTC